CTCGGCTCACTGCAACCTCTGCCTCCTGGGTTCAAGCGATTCTCCTGCCTCAGCCTCCCAAGTAGCTAGGATTATAGGCGTGTGCCACCATACCCAGCTAATTTCGATATTTTTAGTAGAGAAAGGGTTTCACCATGTTGGCCAGGCTGATCTCGAACTCCTGACCTTGTGATCCACCCGCCTCGGCCTCCCAAAGTGCTGAGATTACAGGTGTAAGCCACCATGCCCAGCTGGGGTTTTATTTTTTCTTAATAGGTCTAATAAGGGCAAGTGGGGGTGGCTCATGCCCAAAAACCCAGCACTTTGGGAGGCCAAGGCATGTGGATCACCTGAGGTCAGGAATTCCATACCAGCCTGAACAACACAGTGAAAACCCATCTCTACCAATAATACAAAAATTAGGCCGGGCATGTTGGTGCACGCCTTTAATCCCAGCTGCCCTGGAGGCTGAGACAGGAGAATCACTTGAATCCAGGAGATGGAGGTTGCAGTGAGCTGAGATCACGCCATTGCTCTCTAGCCTGGATAACAAGAGGAAAACTTGGTCTCAAAAAAATTAAAAAGTAGGTCTAAAAGAACTGGTTGCCACCAGAGAATATTTGTTCTACCATTAAGTAGATGAAGGATATCTATGCTTTTTCAAAAAAACTATAGTAGTGTCTCCTGATTACCAGAAGGGGAAATTGGGTGTGTTAGTATGTTTGTTTGTTTTGCGGGCAAATCAAGTCTTTGAGAATAGCCCAGAGACGTCTTCCCTGGGGAGTTCCCCATTTCCTAGGTTTTCTCTCCTTATATCTGATTTGCCTTTTCTGCATGTGTGGAGCTGATACTGTTTTCTGGGTTGAATTCACTTTTCCTTCCTGCTGCTCCTGACTTTCACTCTTTCAGTGAGCCCCTCCTAGCACCTGTCCTCTGCTACCCTTCAGGATTTTTCCTTTTCACTTACCGAATTGTCAACTACAGATTATTTTTCTCTGTATATATTTGCATTTTTTTTCTAACTGGAATCTTATTTTTAATGTGACTGTTTGCCCTGAACCGTCTTTGGTGTTTGCAACACCTCCCAATTTAGTTTCCTCTGCAGATTTAGCACTAATGAGCCAGTTTCTGACTTAGAATCTAAGTGGATATTAGCCTTTAGAAATCTGAAGCTAATTTTCTTCTTTCTACTACAGTGGTCAATCCGAATGCACAAGAATTAATTTTCAACTAGTCTTTATCAACTGTAAAATATACATTGCTTTCAGTTGAAGTTTAAAATTACTACAAACCTCATGGTTCTTTAGTAGAATTAAACTAATAATTTCCTGATCAAGCAAATGCTGTTCTTGTAAACCCTGGCATGTCTGAAGAACTGAGGTATTTCTTTTTTTAAAGCTAAGATTTTTTCCTAATATAAAAGTAATACATGTTTGTTGGAGAAAAAAATGAGAAGATAAAGATAATCTAAAGAAAGCTATGGACAGCCACTGTTTATCCATTGGTCTGTTTATCCATTGGTCTATATTATTTTAGGTATTGTCTAATACCTTTTTTTTTTCCCTTTTATTTTCTGAATTTGGTTTGTTTGTGACTTGCACAGAATAATATAAGGAACCCCCGTGTACCTGTCACCCCGTCCCACTGATGATTAATACGTAGCCAATTCTGCTCCATCTCTACTCACACCTCTCCTGTGTTATTATTTGTTATTCAAGACAGTGTCTCACTCTGTCGCCAAGGCTAGAGTGCAGTGACGCGATCACAGATCACTGCAGCCTCAATCTCCCTGGGCTCAGGTGATCTTCTCACCTCAGCTGGGACCACAGGCTCATATCATCACACCCGGCTAATTTTTTGTGTGTTTTTTGTTTTGTTCTATGTTTTTTCATGTTGCCATGTTGACCAGGCTGGTCTTGAGCTCCTAAGCTCAAGTGATCCACCCACCTTGACCTCCCGAAGTGCTAGGATTACAGGAATGAGCCATTGCACCCAGCCAAACAATTCTTTAGTATCATCAAGTTTTTGACATTTGTTCAAATCCCCAGTTGTGTTATAGCTTTCTTAAACAATTTGTTTGAAACTGGACCCAGATAAAGTCCTCAGCTGCAATTGGTTGATGTGGCTTTATAGTCTCTTGTTTAATCTGTAAATTATTTCCCTAACTTTTGTTTCTTGCAAGTCACTGGTTGGAGAAACTTGGTTATTCTGTAGTTTCCCATAGTCTGTATCTTGCCAATTATATCCTGTGAGATAGTTTATTGTATTCCTTTACTCTTTGTATTTCTAGAAAATTGGTAGTATGTGTATATTTTAATATAAAAATGAGATTGTACTGTACATGCTATTTTGTATTCTTTTCTTCCTTTAATAAAATTTGTACAATCTTCTCATTAAATATTCTTCTATACCATTATTTTAATGCTTACATAATATTTGAACTTCTTAATATTGGATTTTTAGTTCATTTTTAGTTGTTTATAAACAACACAGCTATTAACATTCTCGTAGCTCCATAAATAATTATTTTGACACTAGAATGGTTTTAAGATACGTCAGTGCCACAAACATTTTTGGTTAATAAGAACAGATTTTGTGCTTTAAATGCAATGAAAGTATTTGATGACTTGGGTGTCGTTTATTCTTTTAAGGCAAAATGGGCATATCAAGTTTTTGACCAAAGGCGATAATAATGCGGTTGATGACCGAGGCCTCTATAAACAAGGACAACATTGGCTAGAGAAGAAAGATGTCGTGGGGAGAGCCAGGGGGTGAGTATAGCGGGGAGCATCTCAAACTTTTTATATCACTTCAAGCGTGGCCCTCTCAATCATATTGTTTGATCATATACAGTTGAATGTAGAGATTTGGTTCTGGTTCCACCAAATGACTCTTGTGTCCTTTGAAAATTGTGCTTCTTAAAAAGTATCTAAAACTTCAGGTATACTACTCCAGAGGTGAGGAACTGGGGTGCAATAAAAGAATAGAATACTAGTGATGAGATGGTGAATTGGATGTGACAATTTAAAAAAATGTGTTCACTTGGATGGGCACGGTGGTTCATGCCTGTAATCCCATCACTTTGGGAGGCTGAGGCAGGCGGATCATGAGGTCAGGATTTCGAGACCATCCTGGCTAACATGGTGAAACCCCATCTCTACTAAAAATACAAAGAATTAGCCGGGTGTGGTGGCGCTTGCTTGTAGTCCCAGCTACTCAGGAAGCTGAGGCAGGAGAATTGCTTGAACTGAGGAGGCGGAGGTTGCAATGAGCCGAGATTGCACCATTGCCTCCAGCCCCCCCAAAAAAAAAAAAGTGTTCACTTATTTGGTTCACTCAAGAAATATTGGGCACCTTCCATGTGCTCTGATGTCTATACTATGCTAGGCTCTGGGGGTCCAGAGCACTATCAGCCCTGTATCAGTCCTGCTTTATTAAACTTACATTTCT